CACCTGGATGGAGGAGGGTTTTCCTCGGACTTCCCACGGGACGGAGAGCCCTGATTGCTCTTTGGGCTGAAGAGGGAGGGGGAACGGATTGGGGGAGGGGGAGGGAAAGGGGAGGCGGAGGTGGGGAAGAGACTGAAATATTTAATAAAGAAAGAAAGAAAGAAAGAAAGAAAAAGAAAAAAAAATTTAAAAAAAAAATGATATCACGATAGGCTTTTCCTTTGACTATTCACCTCTTCCTGTCAATGCTTCTTCCGTTGGACATTTTGTTTTAAGCCTGTCAGATTTGCTAGGGCTGAATATGCTCCTAACCACAGTGACCAAAACTTCATTTAGCTTTCTGTGATCCGTTGGACAGAAGAGTATTTGGCTATACTTTTTGATTATCAAACTCGGAGATAATAGGTTTTGTTGCAAAGACAGTCTTTGTACTTGAAAATTAGGTATGAATCATCAAGGACTGTTTTTGAGAAGAGCAAAGAGAATGAAATCCAGCACAAAGGAGGAAATGCGGGATCAAATCAGGATCTGGCTCTGAATTTCTCCATGAGAGCAGGTGAAGCAGCAAAGGGTGCTAACTACCCCAGGAAGGGTTTCTGGCCCATGATAATGCAGGCTTGTGAGCCCTAAACAAAGTCCAAAGAGGTGGTTGGTTTTGTAATTTTACTAGTTTTCAACATCTCACCATAGAAAAGGGACCAATTCAGTGGGAAATCAGTTTTGGGAAATGTTTGAAGTTAGGAAGGGATAGACCATCACCAGTTAGCATGTCCACAGCTAATGGGAGGCAGATATTAGGTAAAGACATTTGGATGAAGGGAAGTTAAGTTTTCAGCAGGATAACTCAAACAGAGAAAGAAGGGGCGGGGGGACAGCAAGGAGAAAGGGGAGCGCCAAGGAATTATTTGCATCAGAATTTGCCCCATTGACTATGAATTTCTTGTCTTAGAAAGATCAAGCAGGTGTCAGAATCAATGGCAAACTTGGTAGATCTTCCTGGTTCAATGGCCTTTTAGTTTGAAAGGCGAATGTCACTAAAGATTTCTTGAGTGTTGAAGTCGACCAAAGCAGGTGTCACATTTTCTTTCCCTTGTCAGTATTCAGGCTAGAAGTGGGGCATAAAATATCCATGAGAAAATTGTTTTCCAATGTGGACTTGGGAAGCAAGGTATTACTGACACCCGTGGTTTAGTAAAAGATGTGTTTTGTTCTTATTACTTGTGATTTAGTTTGGTTAATCATTTTGTTCGTATTTAAGACTCAAAAAAAATAAAAAAAAAAACAAATAACCCAGAAGCTGTAATCTTACAGAAGAGAGAATGGTCGTTGTGAAGCACAATTGGAAGTGGTCTATACTGAGACACAGGCATACAGTTAGAACAACTTCGAGATGTTTGGCCAGTGATGAGATTATTTGTGGTTAAGCATTGGAATGAATTTCACAGACTCCAAATGAGATAAATCTGGCCTGTATTTTCTATAGATAGGACCAATCAAAGTGTTGTGTGAGAACATTTGGTTTGGGTACTATGGCTCAGCGTGAAGACCCAGAGAGAAGGTTGAACACATCTGAGAATTGCAGAAATCCTTTTCAACATAAACGTCTAATTTTGTATAAAAGACTAGAAAAAAAAGCAATGCAAAGGGAGAACAATGTGCATCTGCAAGATGCGTGGATAACTTGGAAGTAGTAGATAAAGAGAAGTGCTTATTCTGGCTCTTACTGTACAAAGCATCCTTCCTTCTTGCTCCAGCCATGCCATATAATGATTTTCTTCAACTTGCAACTACACTGTCTCCATGGAGATACTCATAAAAAATTGCAGTAATAGATAAATGCATAGAAACAAGAAAGGCTAAACTTTTGATTCAAAACATTTATTTTTGTTACCTGGAGCAAACCAGAAGCATTTCCTCTCTCCATCTTATACCTAATTTGGGGGCTGAAGTTTAATCGCTCTCCTTTTTCTGCCTGTCTCTGTCCTTTGGGTTATTCAAACTCCAGATCAAGTGCTAGTTTATCTGAAAAGCTTCCTCAGATCACATCTTGTACTATTTGTTCCTTTATCACTGACTGTCTGCACATCTTATGCTTGCCTCAATTAAGTATTTCCTGAGTATGGGTTCCTCTCTTTAGTGCGATGTTCGGCTTCTTAGAAATAGACACTATGGTGAACTCTTTTTTTAATCCTTTATTCCTTCTTCCATTGATATACTGGGAACACAAATGGCTTACTGACCCCAGGAATTCCTCTGGTTACTGACTGTTGTAATCCCCTTTGCAAGGTCTCAGATAGCTGATGGATAGATATTGAAGACTTGAGGGCCAAGAAGGATACCATATGTACATCAAAACATGAAATGAGGAAAAAGAGATACAGTGGTGGTTTCAAAGAGAAATAAGCCAAATTCACAAAGACAAGTATTGTACCCTGTTTGGTGGCACATGCTTGTAATCCCAGAACTCAGGAGGCTGAGGTAGAAGAATCAGAAGTTTAAGGTTAGCCTTGCCAGCATGGCAAGATGCTGCCTTAAAAATCCAACAAAACAAAAAGACAAATATTTATTTATAAATTAGACATAAAAGTGATAAAAGCAAAAAGGGGATTGTGTGGATAAAAGAAGAGAGACAAGTGGGCCCCTTGGAGAACAATAATGGATAATAGACAATAGCGGATAAAAATGATTTATACGCACGTATATCATTTTCTTACTGAACCCCAAGATTTAAACAATTAATACAGGGTAGTAAAAATGTATCCAAGTTTTAAAATGTGTGATAATGTCAGTGTGATACAATACACATAATGTCTGTCTTTGCAGAATTCACTACTAGCAGTGTTGTGTGGATCTTACATTTGTATGAGAAGAGAGTCTTCCCAAAACTTTTTTGAGTGCTCCAGAACCTCTGACTCAAAGAGCACGACAACTAGGTTTTAAAGAAATGAGTACTAAAAAAAAGGGTGAGTATGGAATGAACATTAGATCTAGAAGGAAGTGGGGGGTGAATAGAATAAAAATATAATATGAAATTCTCAAAGAATTAACTGTATGCAAAATAATAATAGGCATTATCTTATATATAATATTATACTAACTATGTGGAAAGGGGCTGGAAGGAGCTGGTAGAGCAGCAGTCTTGATCCTGCCTTAGCATGTTTGGGTCTCCATATCAGAACCCTGATATTTACTCTTTTGCATTTTAGTTAGATTTTAGAAGTTTCATCTTAACCCATCATCTTCATAATATCTTAAGCTCTTTGGGGTCCTGAAAGTCAGGTTAGCATTGAGTTGATGTGTCTTGACAAACTTCTCATAAAACTACTGCAAAGAGATCGGTCTAAAGTCCCTGACTTAGTGCCTTCTCTAGGATGGGTCCCTGTGACAGAATTACGATTTACTAATTCCTTCAAATGTGTTTATGTACGTGTCTCATCTTAGTGAGTCACCAAACTAAACACAAACTGTTTTTCTCTGATCTGCTACTCAGTATTAGCCCATCCTCCACCATCTCCCCAACAGCCACAACAATCCAGGAATATTGCAACACCCAGATCTGCCTCTAACCTTTCTTACTTTCTTAATATATAATCAGCAAGATGTGTTCAGTGCAAACACCCAGAAGTTTGCTTATCTGCATCGTGGCTCCTTTGTGATATTTGATGGACAGTGATGATGGTGATAGTTCTAAATTGATTCCTGCTTATTTCTTAATCGGTAATTATTGACATTTTTGAGATCAGGTGTCTTCTTTTTTAATTCCTCCGGGAGAATAGACATATAGTCTCTGGGCTGTAAAGGGTGGCTAGGAAGTCACGAGTCTGGCTGTAACAAACACTAGGATTTCTTAAACAGAGTTACTTACTGCACAGCAGAAGTATCTGAATGCCTGTTCTCATTTTTAATTTTGGTGCTTAAAGTACTTCCCCCCTGACCTTCTATAACCGATCTATTCCAGTTTTTCTACTCATCAATTGCTGGGAGAGGGGTGGCAGATGATAGGTAAATGGCACGCTCGAAAAGACCAGAATTTCCTCCATCCTTTTAAGGAGGTAACTTCGTTGTTCTGGTTGTGACTTTAACACCTCTGGAATGGAGATGTCGCTAAAAATTTCCAAGGGAAAGGCTGGTCTGGGGTCACCAGTCCTAGAGTGTTTTCCACTGCCACCCTCAATAAGGAGGCTACATCTCCCTCTCCCTGCTGGTTAGATTTTAGCATCATTGTTATGCAGAAGCTTCCCAAATCCTAAATCTTCCTAAGGGACCAACCGAACCGTTTAGAAAGCTGACTAATCTGACACAGTCTAGCTTCCGAAAGAGTCACTTTCTAGGGGGGGGCAGATGATAGTACCCTGTTTCCAGAGGCCAGGGGCACAGTTCCCTTGTCCGTGGCATGCAGTTTTGTGGCTAGACATAGCAGAACATCGTGTTGAGCCCACTCCCAGGTGACTCTTTCTTGTTTCTCATAAACTAAACTTCCCTCCTGTCTCGCCAGTTGCACCCTGCCTCGTTCATTCTCTCTGTGAAAGCCCCACATCTGGGCAAATCTTTCATATCGACCACTCTCCCCAGGCATCTGACTGGCATGCTGGTCCAGATGCGACTGCGGTCTCCACAGCCTCCGTTCAGTACCTGTGTCACAGCCAGCCGGTGCCTAGAGCGATGATGCAGAAAAAGAAACAGAAAGCAAGGAAAAGTCAGGAGATGCTGGATTCAAATTATAGGCAGGGCGATGTTAAAAAGAAGAACCCATTAACAATAAATCCAGGTTCCTAACTGCAGGATTAGAAAAGGGAGAGCTAAGAAGAGCAGCGAAAGGAGGGGCTTGAAACAGGAGCGACAGAGACTTTGTCAGCCTCTCAGACTCCCCAGCCCAGAAGGACAGGGCGGGGGTTGAGTCGCGGCTCCCCATTGGCTCCAGCGCGGGCCCCTGGACTTCTATAAAGGGCAGCTGCAGAGCAGGCTCTGCACGGGCTTGGAGCTGGAGTGGCATTGCCTGACTCCGCCCTGCCCACAGCGCCAGCCGGCCTTGGACAGAAAGACTGATGACTGACTGAAGGCAACAGAGATTGGGTAGGAATGGCAGCATGAAGGAGGATCTGTGCTTGAGGGAAGCCTGACGCCATCTCCAGTTTGGAGCAGGTGCTGTGGGCATTATCCAGGAAGAGCGTTTGCAGACAGCCTGTCCTGTGTTCAGCTGCCCAGCTCTGCGCACTTGCCCACCCTGAGCAGGTCCAGCCTTTTTTCCTGGTTCCTGGTATTTCTCCCCTCTCCCTGCTCCAGACACCTTGGAGAACACTTTATCAGCTCAGAGCTCCAGGGCACTGAATAGATTGCCTGCCTGTCTGTCCACAGCCTCAACTTACCCTCTTCCTTCTTTGAGAGGTTCCTGGGCAAATAGCTTAGGGACCTCACGGTCCACTAAAGGCACTGGGATGAAGGAAAAGCCAACCACAGAAATGCCCCAAGAGGCTTTCCAGAGCCCTGGCACCACGAGCATCTTCGGGGAAGAGCTGACTCCAGAAGCCCTGAGTGTACCTTTTGGTTTTGATGACTTGATCACATCCACTACTTCCCAGGTACTTGAGGCTGTGACCAATGTTGCATCTGCGTTGGGGCATGGACTGTCCAAGATACCCGAACACATGACGGGAGACCTGGCCGACACATCAGGTCCCCTAGATGTGGAAATTGTGTCCGAGGATAATCGTTTGCAGTTCTGGTTAGTGGTAGGGTACACCATAGTGATCTTTGCCTCCATCATAGGCAACTGGGTTTTCAACTATATAATTTTGAAGTACAACAGTGCCCATACTGCCTCCGGCCTCTTCGCTGTCAACATTTCTGTGACCAACATGATGCTTGCTCTTCTCAGCTCTCCCTTCACCATGGTAAGCTGGGGTACTGAGGAGGGTAACCGGGGGAGTGGGGCAAGAACTGAAGTCAAACTTGGTGCTTGCAACAGTCGGTGCTGTGTGCTCAGAGGGAGGGAGAGTTAGAAAAGGCTGGCTTGGTTTGGAGAAAATTTTTATGGGAACTAGAACAAAAACTGAGAAACATTGAAAAGGGCTTGGAAATGTGTTAGGAAGACTGGCAGGCTAGTTGTTGTGTCGCCGAATTAATCCCTTGCTGTGGTAGAGGCTGAGAGAGTATTGGGCTGCTCAGGGAGGCAGTGGGACCTGTTGCTAGTGAGTTTTGGGCTAATGTATGAATCCAAGTTTTGTCATAAAGATTAACCCTGCTTCTCCACCTTTCAAATGTTGTGCATGAACTTGAATGTAGTTAACAGGTTTTGTGACTTAGTGTCCCTCCATGTCTTCAAGCCGGAATGTTGTGGGAGAAAATGAGATGAGCATGAGAACTGGAGTGTAAAAATATTCCTTTGTTTATTGGGAGAATGACAGCAGCATTTTGGTGATAAAGGAGACTTTTATTTGTGTCTTGGGGCTTTGGAGAGGGATGGACACAGGGCTGAGTGCCTATGCGTCACCAAACCATTTTTCCTACAGGTGCGCTATATGTGTTATGCCCTGGTGTTTGGAAAGATGACCTGTCACCTCAGTCGCTTTGCCCAATACGCATGTGCCTATGTGACTGTGCTGAGTATGGTAGCTATTTCCCTGGATCGGCATCGGGTATGTGCCTCCCAGATATCTTGCCTAAGATATCCTCCCAGATGAATGGAGAAAAGTGAGGTCACAAGAAATCTACAAAGTTTTCCAAGTTCTTAAGTTCATATATGTAAATGTTTATGTGTAATTTGGTGATATTGAAAGATGTAAAATACAAAACTTCACCAAATTAAACCTAAAAAAAATGCTACCATTTTTTTCTGTGGTGCTATGGGAATAGAGATGTGGCAATCAACACATGATACATGTTCTTTTGGGAAATATTTCCTGTTTGCTGCATTGCAGGACTGGCTAAAGGAAGCAAGACGGCATGGATAAGTGAATGTAGATGTAGTATTAGACCTGTCTGAGAGTTTAGTAAGGAAGGTGGGAATGAAGTCTGAGAGGAAGGATTGGGGGGGGGAGTGGCTGATGAATAGAGATGAGTAAAGAGGTAGGAGAAAGATTGAAGTCAATTAAAAGGAAGAGAGGCAAGGGAGAAGAAGCTGTGGTCATCGCATAGTTAATCATCAAGGGGGGGGGGCAGAAAATGAGTGGCGGGGAAAGACCAAAGGAATGAATGGTATGTGATTAGATCCAGTTAAAAAGCTATCTGGAAAAAAGATGAGAGATAGTCAGGAACATAGAGCAAAGGAGAGAGGATGGGAAAAAAAGTGACTATGAAGGAATCAAGATGGGACGGGATGAGAGGGGAGGGGAGGGCATGAGAAAAGCCATGGAGTAAGCCAGGTAGAAGGGTAGATGAAGGAATATGTAGGATACTGTCATACCCATTAGAAGGTAAAGAAAAAAATAAGTCACACTACTGGACATGGGTTTCCTTTCTCCACAGAACTGCAGACAGAGAAAGAGGAGTTTTGAAGTCAGTTCACTTGAATTCCTGATTTCTTGAAACATAGCAGTGCTGTAATTTCATGAGCAAAATGCCACATACATGTTAAATGAACTAGTACATAAAGCACATTCCCACCTACATACTAAGTCTTTGTACCCTTTTATCAGAATAGCAGTTTATTGATGTCTAACTTTAATTTGAGTTGTTAAGCTGGATGGGGTCCTTCTCTCCCCAGGTGATGCTGAAACCTTTGAAGGCCCAGATCACTCCCATGCAAGCCAATATTTGCATCATTGTCATCTGGATTGTGAGCACCTGTGCTGCACTGCCACATGCTGTTTACCAGAAGCTTCACCAGGTGGAATTTGGGTAAGAGGAACATGGGATAAGAGAATGCTGTTATACTAGCAGCCCAAGACCCTGGAAGCCGTCAGGAATGATTTAGCAAATAGGAGCTAGAATAACACATTTCAAAACATAGGTGGAAAAATAAAATTCTTCTGAACTGTTATTTGTCATTATTTCCCGGAAACTCTCAAGACAGTGGGCTAGAATTTCCATCTTCGGGGCCATGGCTTTCCTATAGGTACATGAGAAGCCTGGGTCAGTTGAATCCTAGCTCTCCTGGTTTTATGCTCAATGCAGACACAACACAAACAGTAAATACATCTCAACCTTAAGACCTAATTGCCTTAAGGAAAAGACTAAATCGTTGGTTTTGTTTTCTTTCTCTCATAACCTAGAAACACAACTGAAGAAAGTGCCTGCCTCCCCAGTTTCCCATATACTTCAAAATCCACATGGCTGTACCTTGACCTAGGCACCTTTCTGGTCTTCTTTATGTTGCCTTTGATGGTCTTGGTGGGTGTCTATGGTCATGCGGCCAAAAAGCTGTGGTTCCATGATCCTGTTGATGACATCAATATCCGCACTTACATCTGTCAGCGTGGGAAGAAGAAGCAGACCCTAAAGATGCTGATGTTAGTGGTGTTCCTCTATGGGATCAGTTGGATGCCCCTCAATGTGTACCTGGTGCTGCTAGCCAGTGAAGCCATCTCAAGCCACAATGGTCTCTATTTTATCCTCCACTGGCTAGCAATTAGCAGCTCCTGCTACAACCCCTACATCTATTGCTGGCTCAGTGATAGCTTCCGTATTGAAGTGCGAAAGGTCACCATGGAAATCCAGAAGAAGCTGCTAGATAAAATCAGACGCCTTAGGGGAGAGCATCGCCGACTCCTCTCTGCATCTCGTGCCCATCCCCTTGATGCTGAAGATTCCAATCCAGGAGTGCCCATATTCCCACGATTCAAAGATTTTGATGAGCTGCCCAGTCCCCCTCCTTCCCCAGCAGTGCGCATCTCCTTTATCCACGCAGTGCCTCGAAGTTAAGCTGCCCAGACCGCAACTGACTATCAAAATATCTGAGGTATGATAGAATCAAAATAATTAGAATTTATTATTGTTTTTGAGTATCACCCATATATTGTACTTGTGTACAGATAGTGCAGGCCTCGGGGGATCTGTGAGCTCCTATATATTATTATTTATATTTTATTTAGATGCACACAAGACGGATTTCATTACTATGTTTCCATGGAAATGCTAGGAGACTAAGGTATCACTTCTGAAATTTCACAGGATGCTCTGGGAACTTGAAGCACCTTATAAGTGCAAGCTCTTGGTCGTCTCTTCTCTTCTGTGGTAGTGAGGATAGGGAATGTTACAGATGCCCAGGCACAGATGAGGCAGTGGAGTGATTCACCCCATGTAATCAGAGTTATTTCCTCAGGTTGCTGTACAACAATTTGGTGACAGCGTCTCTCTGAATGCAGAAAAATTGAAGTGCCCAAGTTCACACTTCAAAATCCCAAACCTCCTCCGTGTTTCTGACTATACATTTAGTTTCATACTTTGTTTCATGTAAATTTGTACTCTCTACTTTTGTCTTTCTTTTTCTGGAAAAAGAGAAAATATAATGTGCTTACTGTTGTTTTAATTATCCCCATCTCTTTAGCTTATGGACAATTTCAACTCGGAAGAAGAGAGGAGGAGGAGGAAGTGAATCCTCATCCTGTCACTGCCATTCTTCTGGAGACAATGTTATTAAGGTCCTCTGGACAGCATTCATGGTTGCAAGTGTCAAGATGATACCAGGATGAGAATCGGACTTGTGATCCTCTTCATTTTCCTCTCTTCTTCTTTGCCTCCTCCTCACTATTCTTGTTCTCCCTCTAGTCTCTCCCCATCTCCTTCCTAGCCTTTGTCCGTTTCCTCCCCCTTGCTTCGGTTCCACCTTCTACTCATCCTTTTCTTCTTTCACTTCATCCTCTTCTTCCATTTCTTTCTCCACTACTATCTTTCTTCTTGTTTTAAAAATCTCCTTAACAATGACAAGTTATCTGTCTGAGAGATCTCCTGGTTGGTAAGGTATCTACAAGTTTTTAGGATCAAAAAATGAGGTAATGATTCAGTTTCCAACTATTCAGTTTTCACATAGTGAAAAGATGTGGTGGTTTTGGGGGTTCAGAACTTCAAATGTTTCTGGTAAATTACCATACTTGCCATAGTGTTGTGTACCTTTTAAGATCAAGCATAAATTGGAAGGAAGAAAGACCTAATTGAAGTTTAAACTCAGTTTCATTCCATTGTCTCTTTCTTCTTCCTTTTTATCCTTTGAATTTAATCCATTGATCCTGACCTATCATTAATACCCCAATTATAAAAACAATGAACTTGTATTACTGAAGTACAGGTATACATATTTGGAGTAGCTTTAGGGTGAAACATGACCTTATCTTCTATTGTGACCAATATAAACTGCCAACCTACCTGTGATCTTTAGGCTTCAGCTGTATTGGTGATTAGTAGTCTTTGTGAGTAGTGAGCTCGCTTGTGTATTTTCCAACATGCTATGTAAATAATTCTGATTATCTTAAGGACAGATATGTGTATTTCCTTTTCATTCGTATTTGATAGAATAGATGTTTTCTAAGACTGACTGCAAGCAAAGTCGAATTTTGCTTGAGTACTGCATGAGTCTTAGAAGGATTTTACCTGGCTCTGGTAGCCACCTTCTCCTATTCAGACTTAGGAGAATTTTTGGGTAAAAGGGCTATTCTTGTAATTAAAATGAACCTTGTGCTTTGTGCTTTAACTTAATGTTTTATCCTTCCCCATCTCTGTCTCTATCCTGTATGTAGAATCACACATTCTTTCACTTTCCAGTAAAGCTTGGAAATTGGAACGTTCCAGGTAATCCAGCTTCAAGGTTTGTTGCCGATTTGGCTGGAAACTCGACAGACTCAGAACTTTAAACAACAGCTTTGGTGGTGTATGGATGTTTGAAGAATTGGGCAGACGAATAGTTTCAACTTCACGTGGGCCTTTGTTTAGATGTTTTTCCACAGCACCGAACCTGGATTCGGTACCCAGCCAAGTCTGAGGGCGCTATAGTTGTAAGAAGTTTCTGGCTGAAGGGCTCATTTGGTGGGAACATCGTTCTAAAGAGCTCTAGATTTTAAGCTCTAACCCATGTGCAGCCATTTAGCTCTATGGGTTCGGGCATGGTGCTAAAGAACTGTGGTTACAGGTTTCTAAACCCCATGTGTGTCTTTTTCACTCACCCTAGCCAATCTTTTTTTGAACAAAGGTTATTTAGAAGCTACCAGGAAGGTAGCAGCAAAACTGATGTGTAAATATTTCAAAACCTGTTTTCTCGTCTGGAGACAACAGTTGCTATCCTTTACTGGCTGGGTGTTAGCTGTGTCACATTACTCAAAAGACATCACTTTTCATATATACAAATGAACAAAGAGAGTGTACCAGAAGTGGCAGACAAGAGAAACTGCTAGATTCCCTCCTTGGACAAATTCAAAGGCAGGCATTGCATGTTTTAAATGCCAAGAAACTGTATCTTGGTAAAAATTAGGATATTTGCAGACATGCTTCGATGAGCGTAAGCTCTGCATGTAGCCTGTTTGATATTCAACCTTAACAGGACAGTTTGGAGCGGGGGAATTCCTCTATTGGCACAGATATCTGGGATGCTGGTAATCATGTTTTGGTCACTGTATATGTGGCATGCACATTCTTTATCATGTGTTTAGATCTGACAGTCCCTTCCACTATAAATCCCTGTGTATCTTGTAAGTTATCTTTCCCCAGTGTCACACAAGGTTCTACAAATGTATATACATATACTCATAGAAATATTTAGCTACGTACACCAACACAGTATAGTAGATTAGGTCGCATAAGCTGCCACAACTTTGTTCTGAAGACTCTCAACATCTCCAGATGCTGAGGCAAAGATTCACAGATGAAAACACTGATGTCATCTGGTATACATTAGGAAAGAAAGAAAATATACCTGGCACAAAAATTATGAGAGTAAAAATGATGTTGTTTATTCTAATACTTCTTATTCACAGACTTCTATGTGTCTATTTCAAACTTACTTCCCTTATATTAGTAATAGTAAGATCATGTATGTGATTATGACTTTGTATTATAATTCTCAAAATAAGATCTTATGATAGTTATTAATAAGTGTTCATTTTCAAGATTTTACACCGTATTGAAAAATTAAAAATTTCTGGGGTATTCTATAAAGTTTCAACACTTTAGAGGAAGCTCAACACTAAAGGAAAGAAGAGCCTGATCTGGCTGCTCAAGGAGCACATGGAGGAACCGGTGTAGATTAGCCTGGTGAAATTTGCCTGACATAATACAGTCAGGCCCGAGTAAAAGTGTCTGTGCTCAGATTTATGTAAATGGATTTATGTTAATTGGATTGTTAAAATGTAGCATCTGGAATGAATTCCCTGCTTTTTTGTGATGAGACCTCCTGGAAATAAAGTTTACCAGTATATTTTTATAGAAAGACCTTAGAAGGCAACAGGTAGAGAGATACTGTGCCTCATGGCTTTTGATTTAATAGGATCTTGTAAGTAGCAACTCTGACTACTGTACTTGTAATTTTTGACTGGGCTGTAAATGCTTTTGTACCTGCAGCGTACCACAAAGGAAAGTCTGTTGTAGAAATACCCCAGAATAAAAATATTTAAGTAAAAAATAGAATAAAAAAGCATCTTTAAATTTAGAGTCCATATAGTAGTTAGTGCAGTCCTCCTCCCCGTGGAATGGAACTGAACTTGCTGATACCCTAATGCTTTCAGCTTTTCAGCTTTCCTCACAAATTCTGTGGAAGTATGGAATATATCCTGGCACGTGTACATAGGCACACCAAACACTTGCTGCTTGATTCAAACCTACTAGTGATATGGACTGTGTGGAACTGAAGCCTTCTGGGAGAAAGACTGACACCGTCACATTCTACTCAAATGAGAAAGGAATAAAGCTCCCTGAAGCGATATTGATGAATTACCCCTTCACAAAGGGAAAGAAAGAAATCTTACCATTTTACAACAGGAGAATGAACATTATTCCTCCCAATATGCTTGTTACTTGTTTACCTGTAGCCGTTGCTTTAAATATTATCTACTATTGTTGTTATTTCTCTCTACTCTAATTTAATGTGTGACTATGTATTCTATATCAAAGAGAGGAGGGGCCAAAGGGAAAGGGGATAGTGTGGTTACAGGGGTATGGAAATTGTAGTAGATTAGTACATATATATTTACATAAATATACTAAATAAAGGTATTCATGCAAAGCACTCCTGATCTCTTCTTCTAGCTCTAATATGAAAAGGGAAAAGGATGGGGGGAGGCAGTTGGGTTGGTGGGTATTTGTGATTCACAGGGGCTCATTAGCTAAAGTCAACATTTAAACCTTTCCATGCAATCAACACATAGGCATGAATGTATAAGGGGATGGGGTGAGGGTATAACATAAAAGCAAATCCTTTTATGTTTTCTATGGAAAAGCTTGGGGGTGAACAAAGGTTAGAATACTCAACAGAGGGAAGATGCCTTACTTGGTAAAGTTAAATTCAGAATTTGAGAAGTTTATTATTCCTCTAAATCTGTGGTTCTGAACATGTGGGTTGCGACCCGTTTAGGGTTAAAACGACCCTTTCATAGGAGTTGCATATCGGATATCCTGTATATAAAATATTTACATTGAGATTCACAAGAGTAGCAAAATTACACTATGGAGTACCAATGAATATAATTTTATGGTTGGGGTTACCTCAACAAGAGGAGCTGTCTTAAAGGGTCACAGCGTCAGGGGGGTTGAGAAGGAGGCGTCACTGCAACTCATCACACTAGCCCTTAGAGGTGCTCATATAGTCTCCTGTAGGCTTAAATCCTTTAATAGTTAGTAGGCTTATGCGAAGGTCTAGCATTTCTCAGATACATTAAAGGAGAACAACTAGAGAATAAACTCATTAGACCCCCAAACCGTAAACATATTTTAATAAATGCAAAGGTCTTAAC